CTTTCTCGGAAGACGTCGGCATGTGTTATTTCGTGCCTGTGGCAAGCTCGTACGTATCAACTGTTATGCTGTCACGACTTTCCCGCGTACCGTTCTTGTCGTTTGTCTTTTTCCAGGTCATGAATCGCTGGCGACTGCACAGTCGAAGCGACGAGCAGAAGCTTAACCTCGTTTCCAAAGGAACCGGTACGGATTTCGTTTCACCTCGTAACCTCGTTCGGGGTCCTCTCTCTTCCTCTCTCCCCGTCTTTCCCCTCTTCTTCCCGTCCTTCCCATTCTCTTCCCTTCCCCTTCCCTTCTTTCCCCGTCGCTGTCTCTTCGAGTAAATGCTTTCCTCATCCTTCTTACCTTCACCCTTGCTCGTAGACTCAGAGCCGCATTGCATGTCCCCCCTTTCTCGCCTTCCTCTTCCTCCGCCCACCTCTGCGCCTCAAACTTCCACTCATCTTTCCAGAATATCATCCGTGCCTGTTTCCCCCTCACCCTCCCACCTTCCTCCCCCTACTCCTCCCCTTCCCCGTCCCCCTCTCCCTCCCGTTCCCCCTCTGCCTCCCACCCCTCTGCTGCATTTCCCCTCCTCCCCTTCCTCGTCCCCTGTCCTCCACCGTCAATCCTCCTTGCTACTCGCGCCGTGCCTCGTGCGCAGTTGTCCGAGGGGTGCTGCTGCAGCAGCTGCTCCAGGTCGTCGTTGCCGTGCTTCTCTTCCTGGTACGCCCTCATTCCACCCCCACCACCTCTCTCGTGCCTTGCCGCCGTGTGTGTAGCACACAGTCCCTTGTTCTCGTCTCTCTCTCTCTCTCTCTCTCTCTCTCTCTCTCTCTCTCTCTCTCTCACACACACTCACACACACACACACACACACTCACTCTCTCTCTCCCTTTCTCGTTCGGAATCCGCTCACTTCCGCGTGCAGGTGGACCCTAACAGTCAGAACCACGGGGATGTTTTTCCCAGCCTGTGGGTGCAGGTGGCTTTTGAGGCGCCTCAAAAGGCTTCCCTGCCCCTTCCCCCTGTCTCCTGCTGCTTCTCGCGCAGGTGGACCCTAACAGCCAGAACCACGGGGAGGTGCCTCCAAGCCTGTGGGTGCAGGTGGTGCAGGTGGCCGTGGCAATGATTGTCATGGACGCGTGGCAATACTTCTGGCACCGGCTCATGCACGAGAGCCGCTTCCTCTACAGGTCAGCATGCTTCTCCCTTCTTTAGATGTCTCTAGGGATTGTGGGTGTCGGGGTGGAATTGGGACCGGAAGGGCGGAAAAATAGTCCCTCCCTTGCTGCATCTCAGATGAACGCACATCATGTCAGTCATACACACACACGCGCGCACACGCACGCACGCGCGCGCACACACACACACACACTCACACACACACACACACTCACACACACACACACACTCACACACACACTCACACACACACACACACTCACACACACACTCACACACACACACACGCACAAAGACATTCACAAACAGACTCACACACATACAAGAATCGATGCACACACACACACAAACAGCATGCAGACAAGAATCCATGCACACACACACATACACGGAACAGCCACCATGCTCCACTCTCTCATCCCCTCGATCCCTGCGGTTCCATGCATCTTCCAGGAATCTGCACAGCTGGCACCACAGGCTGCTGGTGCCGTACGCCTATGGTGCCCTCTACAACCACCCCATCGAGGGACTCATTCTTGACACCTTTGGCGGCGCTGTCTCCTTCCTCGTGTCTGGTGAGTTCTGCTGCCGTGCTGCTCCCTTTGTCTTCTTCTCGCCCCCTCTCCACTCTCCTCTCCCCCCGTCTTGCCTCCCTCTCCCCTCTCGCCTTTTTGCCACTCACTACTTCCCTCTCACCCCACTTCCTTCCTTACCGTCTGCTTTCTCACCCCATTCCCACGTGACATTGTTGTCATGTCACCCTTCCCCCCTCCGCCTCTTCCCTCCCGCCACACCAGGTATGCACCCGCGCACGGCCATTTTCTTCTTCACCTTCGCCACCATGAAGACGGTGGACGACCACTGCGGCCTCGTGCTGCCCTTCAGCCCCTTCCAGCGCTTCTTCCACAACAACGCCGGTACGCTCGTCGCACTTCAATGACTGAGTAGACTCAAAACTAAAGTCACCTTGTGCTGCCCTTCAGCCCCTTCCAGCGCTTTTTCCACAACAACGCCGGTACGCCCACAGCTCGCCAGCAGCACTACCATCCCATCTCGTGCACCCGTGCTTCTCAGGAGTCTTGAATCTGATCACTTTGTGAACAATCCAGTACGGGGCTTGTGTTTTGAGTGCCACAGGTCATGCATGTTGCTCCTCTTTGATGCCATGCGTGGACCTAAAGCGCATTCCTGAGCAGCACCATTCCTCCTTCAATCATCTCATCGTCCCCCACTCCCCACCTCCTCCACCTGCTCACCGTCCTCCCTCCCCCCCACCTTCGTCCCGCCATCTTACAGCCTACCATGACATACACCACCAGCTCTCTGGGTTCCGTTTCAACTACTCGCAGCCCTTCTTCCCGGTGTGGGACATGCTCCTCGGCACCCACATGCCCTTCACGCTCGTGCAACGGGCCGACGGGGGATTGGAGGCCAAGGCAACCCGCAAGGCATCGCTCTCCTCTGACGCTAAGACCACCGCTGCTGCTGCTGCCGCCATGGCTGATGCTGCTGGTGCTGCTGGTGCTGCGAATGGGGGTGGGGATGGGGAGCGCAATGATAAGAAGAACGACTAAGGCCTTGGTGGTGGAATTGAGCTGCAGGGAATTGCCTTGGCCTTGTCTTGGAATCCGTCTTCTTAACCTGGGATATGCAACTGAGGATGTTTCCTCGAACAAGAGCTGGTGTAATGGAGAGAAGGAAGGGGGCGTTGTGGCAAGTAATATTACAGCATCGGTCGGTCAAACGTCCCCGTGGTACTTGGATGGCATCTAACCAACCATCTTATCTGCTTCAGCAAGGGCTGCTGCTGCTGCTGATTCCATGTGAAGCGTGTCTCTGCTGCTGCTGATTCCATGTATCACAGCATCGGTCGGCGCATGGTCCCCGCTGACTATGCGCGATTGTTTCATATCATGATACGATTCATTTGTGCACATGTTTCGCCCTGCTCTGCTCCCGATCCTGTACACTGGTAGTATTAGGGTAAGTGCTGCAGTAGTGCAGGTGATTCACTGTTCTAGTCCATGTTGCTGTGCATGCAGCATATCTACTGTGAGGTGCAGACCTGGCTGAGTCAGCAATCTTTTCCCCACATTCTACTAGTACGGTAGGTCCTCCTTTTTAACCTTTGTTAGCAGTCCTGTTAGTACCTGACCCAGTATGTACCCAGTATTAGTTCTGTTACAGTGCAGCAGTACCTTGTTGCCATCACTTCTAGTGCATACCGCTTCGCTTCACTGATTTCCGTGAACTGTATGGATAGTGGAGAATAGGACACTAGGTGCCAGAGAATAAGACACTAAGTGCCAGAGAATAGGACACTAGGTGCCAGAGTTGTTGTAGAGAAGCAAGGTGGAGAGAACAATGCTTCCAATTCTCGTTGTTGGAGCTACTCTTGTGATGTGTGCTGCGACGGGTGACATGGTTATAGTGATGAAGTTTCCAGTGATTACCGTAAAATTCCAAGTACAAAGAGTTAACAACTTATCATTGTCCAGCCTCCACAAAAAGCATTGACCAGGAACAGTTCATCCATGCAGGGCCCTAGATATCAGACTTTGGAGTCTGATTCAGAGTCCGTTCAGACTTTTTTTTTGTACCTAGTCTGAACTCAAAGATTTTTTTTATGCACCCTGTCTGATTTTTCAGAGTTTTTTTAACTGACTTGTCTGAAATTTCAGAGTAGTCATAGTAGTGTAGGCTGAGCCTCAAACTTGTATCGGGGGTCCACTCTGAAACCGGTTATACAGGGGTTTCCGCCGACTGAATGAAAGGTTATCGGAACGAAACTTCCTCGAAACTTTTTTTCGATACACCCACGTGTGTACGGGCCAGCACTAACGATTTCCTCCGGATAAAACTGCTCGAGTAGGGGTACAAGGATACACTACTTTGTCGACGCTATCTCGAGTGTCGAATTCATTGGGGGCTTATAATAACCCTTAAATTGTGAAACTAGATAGCCAATCGCACATGGCCAAAACGATTTTAGCGAATCGCACATGGCGAAAAGCGAATTGGTGCAACCGAAAGCCGTGTCACATATGAGTCTCGTACTTCAGCAGAACCGCACATCATTTCCCCTTCCCAAACCGAGTCAAAATTTTGAATCTGCACATTTAGGAGAGAATATTCCGCGCACATAGGGTGTACACAGTTGAAAACTCTTGCTGCAGCCAGCGCGCCCAGCACAGAAAAGTTCCGAGCGATACCGTGCCTGCTGCCAGGTCAGCTGATTGGGAGCTTGCCACACTTGGCACTTGCACGAGGCCATTGTCTGATGCCCACACCTCGACTCGACCCTGACTGCTCAGTGATCCTAACTCTTGACAAATGACCAATCAGAGTGCCCCATTTCTGGCCGCACAATTGCGTTGGTATGCTGTAATCAGCTTCAATGCTATTATAGCTATGCTGTTATGAAACTGCATGAACATCTTAAAATTTGAAGTAACTCTGACAGTTCAGACAAAAGAAGTTGTGCTTGTCTGAATTTTCAGACTAAAAAAAATAGGTAACTCTGACAGCCAGACTAGGAAGAGGGGTGTACTCTGAGGCGTCAGACTACCTCAAAACGAATCTAGGGGCCTGCATCCATGCACGTCAAGAGCAGGAAGAACTATGCAGTAAGCAGCATGCTCAACAGTGCATGTACAGTTCAGTCATTCCCTCCTGCATTGAGGCATTCCAAGGAGCCGACCATTTATTCACAGATCACCACGAGTCAATGGCAGTATTTGATTGATGGCCTTGTTGCTGCCTTGCCGTGATACGCAGGTAGATACATATCCAGGGAATATGTTCAAGCGCTGACTGATGAATCGAAACGTTTTTCAGCTCTGTGTGGCGCTCTCACTGGATGCAGCAACGACATGAACACCAGTAGCAACCTCAACGGCATGATCAGCAACCCCATCACTGTTGCCAGCATTTGTCCCGCCCACGGGAGTGCCACCAGCATCAGTGCATGTGTCACCAATTGCGGTGCCACCAGCAGCCGTCTCCCCAGCAGCAGTATCCCCATCAGCATCCGCACTGCGCATTTCAGCCCGACTGCTGTGATCGCACTGAATGATGTCGCCACTCATACTCCACGACGAAGCATACCCCGTTCGATAACTCGCGCTCGTACTCGCACTCGCATTCCCCTCTCCACTCAGCCACATGCTCCGGACCGACACACCCGCCCCTCCCACCTCCCTCACACTCCTCTCCCCCATCCCCACGTTCCCTCCCTCCCCTGAATATCTGCTATCCCTCATGCTTCCCTTCCCAGACTCATTGTCTCTGGTCGTCGTGGCAACAGCAGCGGGACTAGTAGCAGCAGCAGCAGCAGCAGCCACTACAGCAGTTGGCACCATTCCCCCCCTACCATCTCCCCAGCTGCCCCTAATCCCACTCCCTTCCCCCACCAGCACCCTCTCACCATCCTTCTTCCCGTCCTTATCTTTCCCCTCTTCCCTCCCATCCATCTCTCGTTCCCTACTGGCCCCAGCACCCAGCTCCCCAGCACCACTGAAGACGTCCTTTTCACCGTTCTCAATCATGGGCATTTTCTCTACGTCTACTCCGCTCGACCCATCCGCTGTGGGCCCCCCTGCATCCGTCCCATGCCCACTTGTGTCAAGCACATGGCCCACTATAGGAACACACAAACAAGAAGCTCCTGTACCATACCCATGCCCATGCCCATGCCCATGCCCCTCCGAATGCCGCAACAGAGGACCGTTCTCACCCTCCTCCTCACCTCCTACCTGCTCTCCACTGCCGTCCGCCTCCTCTCCTGTCCCTTCCACTACACCTTCCACTCTTCCTACCATGTCTGCCTTTTCACCATTCAACAGGCCAGCTCCCGAGTCCCCAGCCACAACATTAGCAACAGCATGTCCTGCTGTGCCATTTGGTACACGCAACCCTCCTTTTCCTTCCTCGCTTCCACCACCCGCACCAGCAGCACTAGCAGCACCAACTGCACCAACAGCACCAGCAACAACAACAGCACCAGCAGCGGCACTCGGGTCAGCATCACCACCCTCCTGCTCTGCTCCACGAGCACTTGCTTTAGACAGCCCCCGGCCCAGCCAGGCCAGCAGTGGCACTCGTGCCAGCACGGCACCCCACCTCCACCCTCCCTCCCTCCCCTCCACTCCCTCCCCAGCCGCCGCCACTCCATCTCTCTCTCCCTCCATATCCCCATCCCCACCACCATCACCTGCGCCACGCCCCACCATATAGTCAGCAGCACCATCCCTACTTGCGCCACCAGCATCCACCTCGCTAAACGACTCGGACCCTTTCCCCCGGCGGAGGGACATGGAGTGTGCAATCACAGACAGCTTCCTCTCCTCCACCATCGAAGCTTCCAGCGGCGACACATAGAAATCCGGGTTGATGATCTGGTGAATGTTGTCCGAGGGGGGTGCGTCCGGGGACAGGTCTGGGTTGTGCAGAGGGCGCATGCAGAAGGGCATGTACTCGGGTGCCATGTCGTCCATACGTTGCATCATGTCATTGCTCTGATTGTACTCGTCCACATCGACAGCTAGCTCCAACGGGAGGAACCTGCCGTAATTGGGGGGGGGGGACGAGGAGGGGGGGAAACATTTGAGGCTGCTCAAAGACCACCTCGTGGCTCTGATTGTACTCGTCCACGTCTACTGCTAGCTCCAACGGGAGGAACCTGCAGGGGGTGGGGGGAGCACGAGGGGGGAGACCGGACGTGATTAGTGGTTGTGTTGATAAAGGAAAGGGAAAGAAGGGAGAGACAGCAGTAGTGCTGAAGCGGGGAACGGGAGATTATGAGGAAGGAGGGAAGAGTGAGCGAGGAAAGTTTGAGAGGAAAGAGAGCGGATAGGGAAATGAGGGAGGAGGAACAGCGAGGAAGATGAGGGAGGAGGGCAACTGACTGGAAGGTGTTGGTGAACTTGGCGTGTATGAGCGCCATGAAGTAGAAGGTCACAAAGGGTAGCGGCGCTGCTGCTGCTGCTGGCAGGTACGCCTGCTTGATGACAAAGATTCCGATCACCGTCACCTGCATGCACACGCGTAGCACAAACAACAGGCCTCTGGGTCAGTCAGCTGGTGCGAGCATGCGTGTGTATGCGCGTTTGTGTGTGTGCGCGCGTGTATGCGCATGTGCGCGTGCACGAGTGGGCGTATGGCAGAAAGAACTGCCCTTAAACACCGTTATGTTAATGCTAGCATGAAAAGAGAGCAAAGGGACCAAAGGGACTAGAGTTGCTAACGCAGTCAAAGCTGCCCCGGGTGCCCCAGACCTGCGCGATGATGAGAGCCGCGTTCACATGCCCCACGAACTTGATCCACAGCAGCCCTCCCGTCTGGTATGGGTACGAGTACACGTACATGATCTGAGAGGGGGGAATGGTGTGGGGATGTAGGGACAGGGTGTGGGTGGGTGGTACAGGTTGAAGTTGGTACAGGTTGAAGTTGGTACAGGTTGAAGTTGGTACAGGTTGAAGTTGGTACAGGTTGAAGTTGGTACAGGTTGAAGTTGGTACAGGTTGAAGTTGGTACAGGTTGAAGTTGGTACAGGTTGAAGTTGGTACAGGTTGAAGTTGGTACAGGTTGAAGTTGGTACAGGTTGAAGTTGGTACAGGTTGAAGTTGGTACAGGTTGAAGTTGGAAGTGCGGACGAGCGTGGTACAGAGGAGCATCCCATCCCGGCGCCGCTGTGCCAGAAGCTCGTCCGCACTTCTCGTGTTTTGAGTCAACTCGAAACACGACTCAGAGGAGCATCCTGCCGCCTCTGTGCTAGATGCCTGCTGCAATTCTCGCCCAGATGCCCATTTGACACTGAGGAGCATCTGGGTGCGAAGCTGCTTGACGGAACAAAACAAAAGTGTAAACGGCATGTCAAGGTCAACAATATGGTGGGGATGGTGGAGTGGGGCAGCGGAATTAGGGACGGGAAGGGGGAGGAAGGGATTTTGTGGGGATAAGAGGAGGCGATGATTGGGGCGACAAGGGTGTGACGTGGAATAATAATTTCTAATGCAACTGGATGGGCTACACACCTGGTGCTTCCACACGAGGTAGCCAACGCAGGAGTAGAAGCAGACAAAGGGCAGGATGATGGGGGCGATGACTGCATAGACAAGCCCGATGGTGATCACCAGGTTCTGGTACGGAAAGAAGATGTGGTAGTTGATGCCGCCCTGTGGGTGGTTGGGATCAGGATTAAGAGACGAGGAGAGAGTTTTGAGACGTATATACGAGGCATATACGAGGCCGATGGTGATCACCAGGTTCTGATATGGGAAGAAGATGCGGTAGTTGATGCCTCCCTGGGGGTGGTTGGGATGGGATCAAGAGGGAGAGATATGAGGACAAGTAGGGGCATTGAGGTTCGTGTGGGGACAGTGTGGGGATGCGATGGAAAGGCGGTCAAGCTTGTTAGGGCGCGTGTGATCTTTGAAATTTGTAGAAGTTTACATTTTTAGGTCGAATGTAGCATTTGAACTTAGGGCAAACAAAACTCGACTTCCCTTGCAGCGAAGTTCGAATCTTGGGCCCCCAACTCAGATGAGTCACACTCACACACCCTAGGTCGAACAGAGACATTCGACCTTATAGGGAAGGCGGCGAGCCGCTCGTAGGGGTGTAGGTTACCCAGTACAGCGCGCCACGTCAACATACTGCGCAACGGAACTCCGCGACCTTCACGAAGTTGTCGCTATTCTTGCATGGTCTTCGTGCGTGCTGTAACAAACACAAGCTCGCTTCAATGTGCACGCGCACGTTTACCCGTGTGATTCGAGTCGAGTTCACATTTGACATTCGCACTTATGTGCCCCCAAATTTCTCATGCCTTCGCCAAAGCATTTCGGCGACATTGGCGAAACAGGTAACCACACAAAGTTCGACCCTTTTTCCGAACTCAAAAAGATCACATGCACCCCGTAATCTCAATTTTCAAAACTGTGACGGGGGTGCTCCGAGAATCGAACTCGGGACCTCTCGCACCCGAAGCGAGAATCATACCACTAGACCAAGCACCCATGACAAGTGGGCCACAAAAATTCAGAAATCACCGCTGCAAAACGCGCAACCTTAAGCTATTACCTAGTTGGCTTCTAAAGCCCCCTACTTGCCCTTCATTTTCCCACATATATACACCTCACTCCGTTTCCTGCATGTATGGCACACCTATTTCTTTCTCCTCTACGAACCTTCTTGCTTCCAACCCGTCCTTCCCCTTCTCCCCCCCCCCCACCCCCCCCCACCCACCTGGTTCCAGAGCTTTTCGCGGTCGGCAATCGCAACCCCAGTGAAGAGCACGCGGAAGAGGTAGATGAAGAGCGCGAGGGGCAGGCGCAGCAGCTCGACGCCAAAGATGATGGTGGAGGTCATCACGTACGACAGGTAGAACCCCGACGTGCTCGGCACCGACTTCCCCAGGATCTCCAGCACGTATGATGGCTGCTCCAGGAGGAGCTGTTCACAGGCAGAATGGCAAAGGAGTTGGGGGAGGGGTGAGTATAAAGTCACTTTCCAGGATCTCCAGCACGTATGATGGCTGCTCCAGGAGGAGCTGTTCACAGGCAAAGAGGAGAGAAGGGTTTGGGAGAGGGAAAAGAGACGGTTTAATTGGGAAAGAAACAATCGAGTATCTCCTGCTGCCCCAGGTTCTCCAGCACGTACTTTGACGGCACCTACAGTACATAGTTTGATTTTTTTTGTTTAAATCAAATAAGAATATATATATATATATAAAAAAAAACATCCACATCATCACGTGCTGCTCTGAAGAAATGTACCAGTCGCACCTGAATCTGCTGTAGCACGGAGGTAGTGAAGAAGAAGCCAAAGAAGACGTTGCAGAGCAGGATGTAGTAGAAGCGCTCGGCTGCGAGGCGCTCAGCAGCGGAGGTGGAGAGGCAGCCCTGCATGTAGGAGAGCATGACCATGAGCGGTGGCGCTATCCAGTAGCACACACGCAGCCCCACCGCTGGCAGGATGAGCGTCAGCCCCTTGTACAGCCACCCGCTGCACAGTGGGGATGGAGAGGGTGGGGAGAGAGAGAGAGAGAGGGGAGAGAGGACAGAGAGGCAAGCGAAAGTGACCATGTGCCTTGCGGAATGTATGCCAACCGCAATGGCAGTGCAATGCATGGTGGGAGAGGGAACGATTATATGATTCAATACAAAAAGAGCGGACTGGATTATATGATTCTTTAGGGGACGGGAAGAGATAAGGTTGCGATGAGAGGTGGAGTGGGAGGGTGGGATGATGGTGCGATGCAACATCATATTCCTTGGACTCCCCAAACGGCCCCATTCATTCCTCGGTTTTGTTTCCCAAACTTACATGTGCTCGCCCTGCAATTATCCACAGGCTCTCCAGATCCAGCCACCCACCCAGCAACCCATCCAGCCATCCATCTAGCCACCCATCGACTAGCCCACCCTTCCACGCCCCCGCCCATCCACCCACCCACCCACCCACCACCAGCCCAGGCGCTCACTTCTGATCAATATCCTTGAGCGGCGGGAAGATAGCAGCGAGCGTGTCAAAGGAGATGAGGAAGCTGGCGGCGGTGACAGGCAGGTAGAAGAAGACCACAGAGCACACAAAGATGCCGTTGGCCACCTGCGTGCGGATGCGCCGCTCCCAGAACCGCGGCTCCAGGTTCTGCCACACCACGTCCCGTGGCTCGGGCGCGCGGTGCACCAGCCACGCGGAGCCCTGCAGTGCGTGGGCTGTTTGCACTGCCACGGCTGAGGAGCGCCGCTTCCGGAACGCCACAAAGGCTGCGCCTGTGCGCCTGGGGGCAAAGAGGAGAGGGAGTGCGGCAGAGGGGGGAGAGGGTGTGAGGCGAAGGGGAGTCTGGGAGGGGGAACGGAGCGAAGGGAAGAGGACGGAAGGTGAGGGGAGTCTGCAGGGGATGGCACTGGTGGTGGAGAGCAGTGCAGCAACCCCACTTGAGAAATGCAGCAAAGGCTTCAGGCTACAGCCCAACCAGTCCAGGCAGCAAGGTTCATTTCAGCAGAACCTTCACAGCCAGGAAGTAAGTGCTCCTGACTCCCCTGTTCCCCTTCCCCCTACCCCCCCCCCCTTTCCCCCTTGCCCCTACCGTTTTCCCCCTCTTCCTCCTCTTCCCCCTTCCCTCTCCCTCCTCCTCCCCATTCTCCCCTTCTCCCCTTCTCTCCCCTTCCCCCCTGCCCCCCAGCCCTTACCGGCGTGCGGAGGCGGTTCTCTGCGCCTCTTTGAGCGCCTTGCTGGCGTCCTCCACCTGGCGAATCCAGTACGTAATGCTCGGCTCCCTGGGTCCCACCATGAACACCTGCGAGCACACGCACAGACACACAGGCACACACACGAGCACGAGCACAGGCACGAGCACAGGCACGGGCACGGGCACGGGCACAGGCACACGCATGAGCACGAGCACGAGCACGGGCATGGGCACACGCACACACACACACGCACAGCCACAGCCAAACCTCGAGGCACATGTCAAATGCAGTACCAAAGCCTGGAAAACAGATACTGGTGAGGAGGAGGGAGGCGGAGAGGGGGCGTGCAGGGGAGGGGAACAGCGGGAAGAAGGGGGAAGGGGAGAAGGAGAGACCGTTTGAGAGAGACCTTGACACTAAAGGTCCATTCGAGAGAGGAGAGAGCACATACCTGGCGCAGCAGCCCATCGCGTCTCATCGGCACGAGCTCCTCCTCGGGCCTGGGGTTCTTGCGCTGGCAGTTCCGCTCCAGACTCTGCTGGTACCGGAACCGCGTGCGGTCCAGCATCTGGACCGCGTGGCGCCAGCGCGCGTACGCGCGCATGACCTTGCCGTAGCTGGCGACGCCCTGGTTGTTGAGGTAGGAGTCGGGGTAGAGGCGCGAGAAGAAGCGGTCCACGAACTGGGAGTCCGCCACCGCAGACGCGGACGAGCAGTCGGCGCGCTGTGGGGGCTGCACAGCGCCCATGGTGCAGATGCGCAGCAGGGTGAATAGGCGCCGTACTGCTGGCTTGCTCAGCTTCACTGTCGGGCTGTGGGCGGGGGAGGGAGAAGACGGGGCACAGCGGGAATAGCGTGGCATGAGGAGTGGTGTGGCGCGTCATGGCGTGGGGAAGAGGAGAGGAAGGTAGTTATGAAGATGGTGTTGCACCAATACAGCTCCTCCAACCTACTCTGCCGACAACCAATGCTCCCACAGCGCAACTCCAATCCCAGCCCTGACAGAACTCAGTCCGTTAGTGCGGAAAGTCCAGCAAGAAAAAAAACAACATACACCTGCACGCTTTTGAACCGCCCTTGCCCCGTACTGGACCCGCTCTCAAACTTACACAACGCCTTCCTTGGGCGCAAACAGCCCCACACTGGACTCCTGCCTCAGCTTCGGCGGCTGCGGCACATCAGTGACGAGCACCACATACTCCTCGGGATGCAGCACCTTGGCTCTTGACGCCAGGTAGTCGTGCCTCAGCCCCCACACGTGGCGGTACGTCCACCAGATGATCAGAAACGTTGTTATAGACACCGCATACAGCATGACTAAATGAGCCCAGAACACCGGGGAGCCCGGAGGCACGTTGCTTATAGAGAGGAAGTCTAAACTGGAGCTGTTGAAAGGGGTGCTGGTGGTGACGCTGGTGGCGGTGGTGGTGACAGTGGTGCTGTTAGGAGTGGAGAAATTTCCCGTAGGGATGCATGTCCAGGGGCCATCTGGAAAAGGAAGTCCGCCCGTGGACGAATTATCAAGTGCGCTAGTGTAGTTGTATCCTGTAATGTAGCTGAAACCAGTGCTAGTGTAGTTCACACCTACACCGTACGGAAGCCCTATCAGGCTGATGCAGTGCTCTCGCAGCGTCGTATTCCCGCATGTTTCAGTCACGTTCCAGCAACCCTCTGTGCTGTTCCAATAATAGCCCCTACCAGTGCCACACACTGTGCCGTTCTTGCCCGCAATACCACTGCTGTTCCTGCCGGCGCTGCCGCTGGTGTTCCAGCTGCTCGATGTGACTCCTAAAGTGCTCCTTTCGCTCCTCATACTGAACCAATCGTCCACCCCTCCGTTCCTGCTCGCGTGCCTCCCCGCACTCCTAATTGGAGTTTCAAGCAAAATGTGACTGAAACGAGCGGTTGCATTTCCTGAGCCGCTGCTGTTGCTACTGCTGCTGCTGTTCTCGCTGCTGTTGCTGCTACTAATACCGTTGGTATTGTTGTAAGTAGTAGTGGACACGGTCTTAGTGGTTGTCGTGGTTGTCGTGTTCCCAACAGTCATAGTCGTCACGGCACTGATGGTGATGGTAGAGGAGTTGCTAACATACCCGCCATGCGTCATCAGCTCACGGCTGCTCACCGCGTTAAGCGGCAGAAGCACCGGCAGGCAAAGCAGGCTCAACACCCCGAACAGCTGTATACTGAACTGGAACATTCTCAAATACACCGCCGCATCGAGCCCTGCACACTCGATAATATCCGCTTCCGTGGCCTTCAATACAGGCACGACCCAGTCGAATGGCCGGGCCATGGGCTTGTGGGGAGCATGGGGGTCATTCATGTACATGCGCGAGGCGAGAAGGCGACGGAAGAAGGTGAAGAAGTGGAGGAGGAAGAAGAGCAGTAGAAGGGCGGCGAGTCCCGAGAACATGAAGATCACCAGCGTCGCGAAATCCGCCATTGTATTCGCCTCCATGGCGTGTGATGCTGTGAGGACTGGAAGTGGTGGTAAGGGTGGTGAGCTGGTGCCGCTGCTGTTGTTGCTGAAGCTGCTGCTGCTGATGCCGCTGCTGCTGCTGGTGCGGCTGTTGCTGCTAGTGCCGCTGCTGCTGCTGGTGCTGCTGCTGTTCCTTCCGCTGCTGCTCCTGTTACTGCTGCGGGTGCGTGTGGTGCTGCTGCTGATGCTATTGGAGGATGGCCAGAACTAGATCAACTTGCTTCTACATAATCTGATGAAGCGCGTACAGAGACCATCGGGCTTCGCTCGACATGCTTCTGAATCATCTGCGCGGCAAACCCGACGAGCGTCGCCTGCGAGCAGCGGAAGAAATGCTGGAGCTACTATAAACACGGAGAATCAGCTCCTTTCCTGCCGGGAGTTGAGAAATTGCAGCACGGTTCTGACACGAGGCCGATTCTCATGCTTGACCCAATCAGACTGATCGAGCCAAGCTATTGCCAGACAGATTAGTGGCTGAACAAACAGGACGGACTTCCATGAAGTTAAAGAGGTGGTTTAGCATGGGCAACAGAATGTTGACCGACCTTGAGGCCAACACAGGAGCATAAAAGCTTATCAAGCAGCAATTATCAGCTCCTAAAAGAGCCTCTCCCGACAGGGGTTGTGCGGCAACCTTACCACCCAGTTGTGTGAACAGGCAAGGTGAGGTGAGATGCATGTGTGTGTGTGAGTGGTATCGTTCTGTAGGCACCAGACGATTGGGGGAGGAGGGAGGGGGAAGGGAAATGAGGAGGGTTCCGAGGTGGGTTCCGAGGTCGATTTCCCCCACGAGGGCAAACACTCGAGATGGGAAATTTCGGATTCTGGGGAGGTAGTTTCCGAGGGAAAATGACGAACTTCTCGCGGAATTTCTCGCGTCCGATGGACGGGTAAATCGTGACCATCGAATGCAGGAGGAGGGTAATGTTTTGGGGCTGGGAGTTTTCAACATAAATAAACCCCAACATACAGGAGTGATGAGCAGGCCGCCAGGGTTTCCACATTGGTGGTTGATGTGTGTTTTTCTTTTTCGATTTGAGATTTGCAACCCTGTTTGGGTTAGTGGCTGTACAAGAAGCTTGTTTCTTGGGTGGGAGGCTGGTGTTCCCACGCCCAGCTCCTCCCTCCCGTCACCGTCGCACTTCCCCGTGAAGGGTGGGTGGCCGATGGCGGGGCGGAGGCAAATAAATTTGCCCGAGGAGGAAGGTGGTGAGGGGAAATAAGAACCTTCCTGGGGGTGCATTTCCCTGGAGGGAAATGACTGTTCTGCAGGCATTTCCCTTCGATTAGGTTCGGAAGGGAAATGACTGCCACGTCAGCCTTTTCGGGCTGACCGTCATTTCGAACCTAAAATTGTAGAGGCAGGCAGCTTCCTATTTTCCCTCCCCCTTCCCTCCGTCGTGCCTACAGAACAACGCCAGTGTGTGTATAGGAACCTCGAGCATGACGCACTGCTGCGGACAGGGTTCGTCGCGTCAATACGGACTGTACGAGGCAAAGCAGAACGATGCACGCTTAGGGGACCGCGCCCGAGCCACATGCTGGACAAACTGGTCCGGTGGAGCCAGGGGCGTGGTTTACGCGCAGCGTAGTGCTGATTCCGTGGTGGTGGTGCGCTCTGGCAAGGAATAAACCAAACTAGTTCGTGAGGTTCGGTCGTGGCTTGGTGTTTCGCAAATTTTTCTGAAGTGATGGATTCCCGATAAAGACAAATTCGTTCTACATAACAGTTGGACAAATTACTACGACTAAGAAAACAAGTTCGGCTTATACGAAAGACTTAAAAGCTAGAGAATGTACAGTTTACTAGAAAGGTAATAGAGTCATTCCAATCCCAACAATGCCACCACCCATCCTAATTCAACAGCGGCATACTGCCATGGCAAGCCTCAGTGCAAACTGTAAGATGACACACGTGCTTGAAAAGGGCACTTTGAGCCATCAACAGTGGGGTAGTTTGTGCAGGCATGAGCAATTGTTCAGGCGAGGCATGTGCCAGGAGCTGCATAATGAGCACAGAGCATGGCTGGTGGCAATGGGATGGCTTGTGGCAGAGAGGAAGACCAGAGAGGATGGAGGGATCATTCCAAAATTAGAACTGACAAGAGGTGGAGAACTAGGACAAAAGCAAGTAGAACGCAAAAACAACCAGTTGTGAGCAAGTAAGGCTTGTAAGGGAAGCAGAGGAACCGCAGCTGCAGCGTGGCGCAAGCAATGCGTGCTGAGACATGGGTTGACTGGTGGGTCAAGAGACGGTGCGGCACACGGTGGCGATTTGAAATAAAATGGTGGCAAGGTGAACGGTGGCTGGCGCAGGCAGGCGGGATGGATGATAGCAGATGCAGAATAGACTATGGCTGGTGCAGGAGGGCAAAATAGACGATGGCTGGTGCAGGCGGGCAGGATGGACGGTGGAGGTGCAGACGCAGGATGGACGGTGGTGGGTGCCTGATGCCTCAATCTCAACAGCAGAAGCATGAGGTAGATTTCATAATCTTCCTCCCACTACTGGGCGCCATGAAAGCCTCTTAAGCAGTGGCGTCGAAGCACGAGAGCAGGCTGGAGAAGAGCTCATCCTCCATAATGCCACCAATGCCGCCGCAGTCCAGCCCACCCAGCAGCAACCCGGCCAAGTCCTCGCCCTCCCCTTCCGCACCGGCAGCAACACCTGCAGCAGCAGACTCCTGTTGCTCATTGCTCCAGTCAGTCACAGCACTCTTGGGCGATCCCTGCTCAAACGCGAACGCGCCCTTCATCACAACAGCCTCAGTCTTGGCAGCGTCAGCAGCAGCAGCAGCAGCAGCAGCAGCAGCGATTCCGGCCTCTTCAGCGGTCGTCTCCTGCTGGTTAGGTGGCAGAAGATCCGCGAAGACGCTGGGAGCAGGCGGGTTCTTAAGATCGTCTGCGCTACCGCTGTTGTTGGCGCTGCTCTCACCCGCCGCTCCAGCTGCGGCCGTTGCTGCTGCGCCATCCTCGACGTTGAGCGGGATGCCCGCGCTGGCAGCCGCCTTGCGCAGCGCGGCGAGCTCCGCCATGAGGCGGCTGTTCTCCATCTCCAGCCGGCTCATCTGCTGCGTCGCGCGCCCCAGCTTCGCCACCACCTGCGCATTACGGGCCAAGTCCCGACCAGCGAAACGGAAAGGAGACGGAGCGGGAAGATATGGAGAATGGCGATGCTTGGTTGCCATGGCCCATGGCTGAGCGACGGTGCGCGACGGTCGGAAACGACACCGTATGACGAGCGGCGTAACGGAGCAGCGTCGGAAAGAATCGACGCGACTGATGAGCCGCAGAAGGACAAAAGAGTCGGAGAATGGTGGACGGACGCACCTGTGCGTGGTCGGCGTGCAGCACCTCCGTCTCGCGCTCCAGCTCCTCCAGCCGCTCCTGGCGCCGCTGGCGAGAGCGCTTCGCCGACGCGCGGTTCGACATGATGCTGCGAGGGACGACGAGGGGAGGAAGAACCGAGAAGCCGAAACGACAAATAGTTAGACCGACGCCAAGGACGGTTGAACACACCGACATCTCACGACGAAGAGGAAACTGACGAGAGAATAGGATGAAGCAGCTGTCACGGCTATCTATAAGAAGCATATACCGTCGTTCCGGCTCACCGCTTGGTCTTCTTCTCCTCCGTCTCGACCTCCACCCCCATCAAGGTACTCGCGAAGTCGCCGCCGCCGAGTGTAGGATTCGACGGGCCAGAAGGAGCAAGCTGCGCCGCGAGGGGGAGGAACGGAACCCCCGACACGGTTGCCGGCATGGGAGCGGCAACCGACGCCGCGGAGAGCATACTCGCGGCAGGAAGGCCGGTTACTGCGCCGGCAAGCGGGCCGGAGAGCGCAGCGGAGTTACCGGTTGCGGATACCCCAGAAATCCCCGCGGCCGCGCGGATCCAGGAGTCCATGGCGGAGGACGGGGGGGGAGTGGGCGCGGGGAAGGGAACAGCGCGCCCGGACAACTGCTGCGACTGGGAGAGGTACTCGAGGAGCTTCTGCTGCTGTTGTTGCTGCTGCTGCTGCTGCTGCTGCTGCTTCTTGATGTCCTCAATAACGGACTGCTCCATACGCGCTATAAAGTTGGACGCGGCGTTGTCGAATTCGGAAGAGACGGACGCCGTCTGGCGCATTATCTTGGCGGGCCTGGCGGAGGACGAAGGGAGGAGCGAGGGCGGAGGAGAGGAACATCTAAATTATGAACGATGGCAGAGTAAAGATAACGGGGGAGAGGAAGATGAAGGAGAAGGAAGGTACGTGAGGAGCGTGAGGAAAGGACTAGGAAGCGGAGAGGCAAACACAATTGGGAGTAAGCGAACGCAGCATAGCCCAATTGGTTGGAATGCTTCCGTCCACCGATCATCGGACAAAGAGCCGTGCCTTAAGAACAGAAACAAAAATTGCCTCGAGCACGAACAGAAAAAAAAAAAAAAAAGCAGGCTCACGGCCGCGAGAGGCCTCTGATGCCCAAAAGTCCACAAGCGTTACAAGCGACCAAGCGTAGCAGGGCAGATATGCATGGTTGCCGACATAACATCTTCTGCATGGGTCATCCACCATTCCAGCTGCTGGGAAGCTTGAACGCAATCTCGTCAACTGTCGAAATCTACTACCTACAGAAACACAAAATCTATGCCCGCAAGCTACGCTGTACTCCGTTCCGGTAAGAAGTGCGCAACTCTGCCAATCTAACCTTCCCCGTCGCCGATCTAACCTCCCGCGGGAACAATGACAAAAAAAGAACTCCCGACGACAACCGTGCGCACGTGACGCAGAGGAGAAAGAGGGATGCGATGATCTGCAGCTGAGGGACGGAACGGATCGGGACGCACACTTGGAATGGAGACGTGAGCTGTGGGCCGGCGCACGAAGCAAGCGGTCGTTTCAGTGGCAGCTGCGGGGCGGCCAGGAGAGATCCATTTCTCCCAGAGACAGAAACGGAGCCAATTGCGGCGCCCGGAGCGCGAGAGTAGACAGGCAAGCCCGTGGCGGGTGGTGCCACGCTGCCCCGAGCGAGGGCAGCTGCGGCCCGAGCGAGATCATAGCCGCCGCCGCGAAAAGCAGCAGCGCCAGCGGGCTGCTGCTGAAAGTTCGCGACCTGGGGGAGTAGATCAGGAGGACGACACATGTTGTCTTGGTAAAACTAGATCAGTAGTGTAAAGCTAGGCAGAGAGAATGGTTGAAAGACAGTCGACTCTCATTCAAGGAGGTTCCAGTTCGCTTGTCAACTAGGTGACTATTCAATCTGGGTGGAGTGACGTTTGGGTGGACAGGAGAGGGTTTGCTGTGGGAGTGAGGCAGTTGTCTTGATTCTTGGAGGTGATGTGCGGCAGATAGCGAGTGACAGCGGAGAAGCGAGGTGGGGAAAGTGAGGGATAGCCGAGGGGAGGAGAGCTGGGGTTTCCAACGAAAGTTGGGGGAATGGGGGAATGCGGGGAACCCTGTGGTGTTGGGGGAATCTGGGGGGAGGGGATGAGGCGGGGCCTGGAGAAATTTCCCTTGGGAGGAGGTGGGGACGGAACGGGGTGGGACGGGAGGGAGCAGCAGAGTAGGGTTTCGTTCGTTCCTGCGTCAGGCGGTGAATCGAAAGGCCATTCCAGAAAAGTCATATCGCGGGTTGGGCCGGACCGCACCACGGCGAACCAATCGGAAAGTGGCGCGGCAACAGGTGAATGGATGGAAACTCAGAAATTGGGTGGTTGACGATGAGCGAGTGGTCATGCATGATACACCACCAAGTTTGTTTGGGATAGGTTGGCGCAGAAATCGTGAGTGCGGGACTTTTGGAAACATTTTTCATGTTAATCGATACAGTACTAATAGAGAACAACGTCGACAACATTTAGGGCTCGTTTCTATCCCGTGTCAGACATCAAGTCACGCGGCCTTAGTCTCCAATTTGTCTCTTCCGAACTTCCAATCGCCCCAAAAACGAGCCACTTCGGGTCTTCAGAACCTCCACTTCGTGTCAAACCTATTGTCTGACCGGGAAACGACGCGCCCTTAATGTGTACTAATAGTTCCTCGTGTTGAGGTGGCTGCCCAAACGATCAGGGCAGCTATGACTGATAAAGCTGACGCTACGGAAAAAGGTTCTGAGTGAAACTGCGAAGTTTGGGCGCAGAGAGTGCGGTGGCTACGAAGCTATGCTAGCTCGGCAGCACAGCTGCAAGCGGAAAGCAAATGCGGAAGGCAGCATTGATCGCGCATCACACGAACCGCCATGCCGGTTCGATATTATTTCCTGATTCTCCCTACATCTCCAGGCTCGCTGGTTGGCCCACCCAGCTGCCTTCATTTCTCGACCCCGTGCACCAGGTCTATGGCAGGTTTCCCATTTCGAGATTCAAATAAAAGGCCAGAATTCCGGTTTCTACTCGCGTCACCTTCTGAATACACGTGCTATGTGATGGCATCTCGCTCCCCTAAGATAGGGGTTATTAATATGATATTAGTAACATCAAGCTGAAATAGGGGCTAGTCAATGAGACCATGTTGCTCCTGTAAGCTCGAAAAATTCAGCTCTTCGTGCTGCCACACATCATTGCAGAGCAGATTGACCCTCAGCGACCCATTGATTCGGCGATTCGGCATCTCCCTGCGACATCTCGCAGCTGCCAAATCTGCCCTCACTTCCTGCGAGGGACCACCAACCCGCAAACATCGGTTCTCTCACACAGACCAACTATATACCGAAATTTGCTGCGGCCATAACGGCTGTCCAAGCTCGTTTGCTGTATCTCGTTACGGTAGAGACATTGGACCACCTACGAAAACCGTGTCACGATAGCATAAACAATCAACTCCGAAAGTTTTAAATACTTGCACGTTGGTTGGTTACTGAATGTTTGCTTCCAATCAAATTTCAATCATTTTGAGGCAGTATTTGCAGTACATGAAGTCACCACTAAACACATTATAACGCAGTGGTTTGAGTTAAATATTTCTTTTTTTGTTACAATACCAGAAATGATCAAAGAACTAAGCCTGTGCGGGAAGATAAGTGGTGCCGTTGCTGACTGCAACACAACTGATGGTGGCGGTGGTGGAAGTGGAACTACCACGGGTTCGAATAGGCTTGAGTTTGACCCCCAGCGCTGCCATAGAAAGCTCTTCTTGTCTGAACGATTCTTGTGAGCCCACTTGGTGCTTGGACCAAGATGCAAGGGAGGTGACAGACAGAGGCGAGGAAGCGCAAGGGGAGTAGCAGCAGGAGGAGCAGGCGTCCGGGGAGGAAGAAGAAGGAGAAGCAGCAGCAAAGCAGTGATGGTGATGTCTGGAAGCAAAGTAGTCCTTGGAGCAGGTCAAGGTGGAAAGCGAGCTGGCAGGAGAGGCGGAGGACGCAGAAGCCGCAGAGAGCCACGCGGTCATAAGGGATGAAGAAGCAGCTGAGTTGGATGATTGCGGTTGAGGGGATGGGCTGCTGTTAGGGGACGCTGCTGCTGAAGTAGATGCTGAACTTCTAGCAGACCCCACAGCTGAGCTTGCAACAGACGCTGCAGCTGACCCTGATCGCAACGATGCTGCTGACGCTGCCGCTGCTGCTGCTGCCACGGCCTCACAGTAATCCAGCGACGCGGCAAAGGGCGACACGCAGTGCATGCCTTGCCGGGCAAAGAATGACTCGAGGGGTTTTCTGAGCATGTGCGGTCGCTCCTCTGTGACGAGCGCACCCGAAGCCTCTACTTGAACCCAGGACGTGGTCATGGGGTCAAGGTGGCACATCATGTGTGCAGCTTCTTGCATTGATGCTTCAGACATCTCGCCTGCTACCAGCAGCACAGGGCACTTGAGGTGCAGCAGGAAGGGCGTGAGGTCGATGCGACTGAGGAGGGATCCAGGGAAATGGATACGGGTGAAAGAGTAAAAGGGAGGGAAAGGAGTGAGTGCACACTGGTGCTTCCCGAATTGTTGCATGGGCTGGAGCGGGGGAGGAAAGTGGGTATAACAGAAGTGCCGAATCAGCTCTGTTGGTGCTAGACAACAAGGGGGTGTTGGTGCTGGACCGTTACATTGTCGAGCGCAGTGGTGATGGCGATGCAAGACGGATGAAACCTGCGCACGTGAGCTTATGAGATGAGCTTTGCTTACCTGTGAATGATGTCGAGGTATCGCATGACGTTCTCTGGCTCCCTGTTGTCCAACTCCTGCACTCAGTCAGACACAGCCAGTCAGAGTCAGTCAGTCAGCACGGCAATGTTCTCCGGTGCGAAGCAACACACGAGCCGTCATTAGCATCAGAAGCCAACCAAGAACAAGCACAGGAGGTACCAACGGCAAAGCCGAGAGCGCCCTTACAAGCCACCATGGAGATGCTACACACAAGCACCAACCAGCCAAACACCACAGCCACTAAATCACTCCTCTGTGGGTGCCTCAGAAAGGTCATTTTCCTCAACATGGCGTCCTGCCCGACTGCGCACCTGGCGGAACATGAGGATGGAATCGGAGGCGGGGCCATGGAAGCCGGTCTGCTGGTGGCAGAAGTAGCGATGCACAAGCGCGTCCTTGACGTACTTGCTCATGCCCGCCACGCACAGCACGCCCAGCAGCACCTTGCTGCGCGCCCACTCGGCCCAGGACGCCGCCCGGCACACGGGTGAGACCAGCACCAGCGACTGCACCGCTTGGGGACGCTCCAGCTGATGGGGACCGCGGCGGAAGGGGGAGGACGGGGGGCAAAGAGCGGGGGGGAAGGGGGAGAGCAGGGGGGAGGTGCGGGAGAGGGGAGGGGAAAAGACAGGTGAGAGGAATGGAGGGGACGGGGAGGACGGGAGAGCCGAAATAGGAAGGAGGCAGCAGGAAAGGGAGCGGGAGGAACAAGGCGCGAGCAGGAAGCAGGACTGACCGCAAGCAGGGTGAGGACGTATGCCCCTGCGCCAACGCCAATGCACACGGCGGGCGGCAGGCGGAACCACGCCATCACCTCCGCCACCTGCTCCGCCAGGTCGCTCGCCGTGAGCTGCGCCTCCAGCGGAGAGATCTCCTCCGCGCCCGCCTCGTGCCCCGGCGCGTCGATATGGTAGATGCAGAAGTTGCCGAGCAGCAAGTGCGCTGTATCGGGACACAGCATTAGGCCCTCGAAGCACGTCGAGTCTGGCGGGTTTGGTCGCGCAGGCGGGTTGGGGGGGGGGGGGGGGGGGATTGATGGGGAGGAGATAAGAGCTGGAATGAGATGAGAGATAGGGGCGAACTGAGAAGCGAGCGGACTGATCGTGGCATGGTGGAGACTGTTTACCGGAAGGCGGATGCGGGACGGAAAGAGGATGGATTTCTTGGAAGGAAGCGAGAAGAGAAAAGCGGGAGAAGCGAAGTTTCTTGAGGAGAACGGGACAAAGGTGTGGTCAGCAAGCAAGCAACACCCGTAAATTGACATAAGACTGTGGTGAGAGGGGTGGAGGGTCGGGGATGAGGGAGGGATTGCTGCGAGAGGACGGGCGCTCACGGTTTAAGCCAATGTCGTGGTAGGTAAGGAGAGGCAGCAGCGACCGATTCCCGCACACCGTCACGCGGAGCGGCCCGTGCGTGGTCATCACAGTTTCCGCCTGCACGAGGGGGGAAACAACGGTGGGGGGAAGGGGTATTTGCAAGGGAAGCCGAGGGGGATGGCGGATGGAAACGGCGGTATAAGAGGGGCACGGAGGGGTGTCCTCAGTAGGAAGAGTAGTCAGAGAAAGCATGACTCTGCTCGAGGGGGGCCCGTGACGACTGCCGACTTAAAAGTCGGGGGGGGGGGGGGGGGGGGGGAGGAAGTGGAGCGACTTAAACACAACTGCTTCATGAGGTGCCTCGAACTACACCAGGACTGATGATACTACCACCACTCTAGAAGTCTGGTCGCCGTGCCTGCTTTAGCCCGCCTTTTGTCTCTGACCGCCGCCGCACCACGAGCGCACAGGTTGGAATGCCTATCGCCTATCACACTGCGCGTCTCGAACTACTCCCTAAAGGTGTCTGGTTGGGCCCCGACTGGATCAACTGGAACTAATCAAGTGCCACCTGTCAATCCACTCAAGGGACTCCCATTTCATGTCACATCTCCTGTCTCCTATCCCCTAACTTCGATCTCCTCTTCCCTGTCCCCGCTCTCCTGTCCCCTATCTCTTATCTCTTGTCACCGTTGTGCTATCATCAGTATTGCTAACAGCGCCGAGGCTCACCTGTCCTCTCCACGGCGCTTGCTCCTCGTCGCCGGAGTAGTAACCCGTGCGACCGCTGCGATCGCTGTGGTCGGCGAACTCCTCGTCGCGGAAGTCGCCATCTCCGCCCCACATCCACTCCGTACTATTGGATGACCCTGTCATTGCGCCTAGTAGCTCCTAGCCGGAAGTGAAACGTGGCGACGGTCGTTGTGCGACGTTTTCTGGTCGCCGCGGCAGCGGCCAGGCAACGTTGTGCGGAGGCGAATGAGTGGCGGTAAAAACTGCCGAGAGTACAGCGTAATTACGACGAATACGATATGTTGAAGAATATGTCGTTAGTAAGGAAAGTTGAAGGACGCACTTCTGAATCGTGACCAGCAAGTCGCGAATGTTCTAGTAGTCTTGGTCTATGTTGTTACGGGTGGTGCAAGTGAATAAACCTGGCGATCGAATACTACCGAATGTGTTCAACAGGCTGTTCTTGTTCCGTCTAAGGCTCCTTTGGAGCCGGGGAGTGGATTTCGGTAAGCTGATTGAAGCCGAAAAAAAAATGCTGGAATAGAGGCGGTTCATCCAATTTGAAGCCTAATGCTGCGACTATGGTGGCGGATTATACACGGTTCGTGTATGTCTTCCTAATCTATTCGACTCCTAATGGAATTGACCCCGCTGCGGCGTGTGCAAGGCAAGGCAAGGACGCGTGGTGTGGGGTAGAGAATCCGAAGCTGGGCATTCAACCGACTCCACGCCTCGCGACACGACGAGCAACATCCCAGTGGCTGCACCTTGGCGAATGTCGCTCCTTAGGAATTTCGCTATGTGAGAAACCACAAATTTCGGTCAGGCGGCAATTTGCGGTAAAAGTGGTGAGAAGCTTGGCGATGCGAACTAGCCTTGGGACGAATAACTACCACACACAAGTCACCACGTTACGCGATTTTTTTCATTCATGGGCGTTGTTCCAGTTTTTTTCTCGTCGTTGGCGCTCATGTCGAACCCTTGTCGCAACCCATTTTCGCTCCAGCTCTCGTCGTGGTTTCAGTAGGCGCCAGCGGGCGGCGCCCACCCTTGGTTGCCGTCGCACCGAAAATTTTGCCACGCGTGCGACACGGAGGGGAGAAAAGCAAAAGTTTAGGCGGGCCGCACTTGAATGTTTCGATGCTTCCGTTCCGCAGGGCCATGTTGCTTTGCTTACTCCATTCGTGGGGGGCTGGCTGGTTGTGGGGTTTGTGGGCGACGCGGAGTCCACTCTCATCCACGCCCCTACCACAGGTTCCGTGCTGCACGACAGCTTTAGTCGCATGGACACTCCGGCGTCTCGCAACACTCGATTCAAGTATGTACCTGTTGAATGATGCCCTAAAAGAAAGATCAGTTATCATTTATTCCCACAAAATGGCCTAATTTAACATGTTTCGATTTCAGACGAAACATATATTACATTTCTGATGAATCAGATGAAGACAAAAAATCATTTCTACTCAATCAGATGAAAAAATAAATCATTCCTTGAAAATCAGATTAACTGGAAAAAAATCGTCTGGAAACTAAGACAAACAGAAAAAAATGTCTGATGTCGAGGACCACACTGTGTACCTTGTAGCACTCATTTGGCAGCATTAGAAGTTGGGCACAATCTGTATGCCGTCAGCGGTTACACAAGTCTTTGATACAAACCAAGTGATGCAGAACATACATGCAACTTGCCACCTACATAGGCTCCATTTGTTGGGCTGAAAAGGCCCTTAGGATCTTTGCAGGGGTGAACTCTGGGTAGAGTTGGTGTAGTAGCGGAAGCGTTAATTAAAGAGTTGTGAACCACCTTGCGCTAGTATGTGAGGGCAAAGTAAGTTGATTAAAACAAAGAGATACAAGATTATATAAGAGTACAAGGAATATGAAAGGATACGGTTATAACTGTTTTACTTGTTGCTGTTGCGGTTCGATACAGTGACGACTCGGGCAACTGCTCTGTAGCGAGTCAGTTGTGTGTCCTTGCTGTCGTGCTGTACTTGTCAGGTCAAAGGTCGCTGACCTTTGACTTTCGCGTAACCTCCAGCGGTTACTTCAACCACCGAGGGTTGACTCGCTGGTGCCTCAATATGCTTTGCTTCACTTGTGCCTTAGTGTTTCGACACGACAGAAGCGCTTAGGACCGATTGTTTCCAACACTCCCCTTCGCTTCTGGAGTGTCGCTGACGTGGCTCTGTCCAGTCAGCAGCATGCAGTATTCGAACTTCTGCTTTCCGAGCTTCTTGGTCAGGTAGTCAGCTGCCATCTCGGACCTGGGGCAGTATGACAGCTCGAGCCTTCCCTTCTCGATCTCGTCCTTCACGAAGAAATATCGCAGGGCGATGTGTTTCGTCCTGTTCGCGAAGCCGTTCTTGTTGGCGATGCGAATTGCCGATTGGTTGTCGCAGAACAGGGTAAAGTTGGGTAACTCGGCTAACTTCGCTTCTTCCAGCAGCTCGCGAAGATAGAGTCCTTCCTTGGTGGCTGAGCAGAGTGCAATATATTCTGCTTCAGCTGATGAGAGAGAAATTAGTTCCTGCTTGCTCGATTGCCAGGAGATAGGTCCGATAGGTTCGAGGCGGTAGATGTAGCCGGTGCGGGAGCGCCTATTGTCTGAGTCGCCCGCGTGATCTGCGTCGACGTAACCGATCAGCTTAGGCGTTGTAGTTGCGTTCTTATGGTAAGTCAGGCCGACCGTCGGGGTACTGACAAGGTAGTGAAGAGCGCGGTCGAGCTCCGCCAGATGTTCCGCTTCAGGCTTCTTGAGGGCTTTCTCTGGTAGTCGCGTATGCCGGCGGGCTTGAGTAGAGCGGATCCTTCCTTGTTGTTTGCTGTCGTGTAGCGGTACGGTGTGGAGATGACAGTCGGTGTGAGTGCGAAACGCTTGGCGATGGTGTCGGCGTATTTCGCGGCGCTGAGGTAGATAGCGTCTTCCTCTTCCCAGATGTTGAGGCCGAGGTACTGTGTGACGGTAGATGAGACCGTGAGTGTGAGGTCTTGCTGTAGCTCCCCTTCGAACCAGGTTGTAATGCCGTCAGTTGAGCCGATGTAGAGCAGATCGTCTACATAGACGATTAGCAGGATGTAGTCGGTACCCTTCGTGAGCCGGTACATGCCCTGGTCGTGCGGCAATTGCTTGAAGCCGATGCGAATGAGGCGAGCGTGTAGGTATTGTTGCCATAGTCGCGGAGCTTGCTTGATGCCGTAGAGCGACTTGAGTAGTTGACAGACGTGGTTCGAGTCCGTGCTGGAACCGTGTGGTAGCTCGACGAAGATCTCTGCGTCAACAGGTGCGTAGAGGAATGCGTTAGCGACGTCGATTTGCCGCAGCTTCTTCTTCATGGCGGCGATCGCGAGAAGGATGCGTAGCGAGGTGTGTCGGCTGACCGGAGCGAATGTTTCGGTGAAATCGCGTCCGTGCTCTTGGTCGAAGCCGCGTACGACCCAGCGTGCCTTAATTTTGTCGATGGTGCCGTCAGCCTTTGTCTTCACACGGAAGACCCACTTCCCGGTGAGCACTGTCTTGTTCCGTGCCACGCCGATAGGAACCACTTTCCACGTGTTGCGTTCCTCCAGTGCCTTCAGTTCCTTGTCCATGGCTTCGCGCCATTTTTCCTTATGTTCCCCCCCCAGAGCCTGCTGAACCGTCGCAGGCTCTTTAGGAGTGGCGGTGCCGTGGACTGCGGTGACGAGTCCGAGAATCTGCAGTCCACTCTGTGAGTAGCGGGGAAGATTTACGTCCTCGGGATAAGCTGCTTCATCTCCCGCTTCTGGATCAGGTATGAAGTTCGGTCCTACTCGTTCTGCTTCGTTGGTGTTGACTGTCGCAGGTGTTACGTAACCGTTGTCGGCGAAATGGTAGAAGGTTTCGGCGTTGGCACTTTCGCGAGGATTGTCTTCGTCCATGGGAACGTCGACG